CTAGACACATAGCCATTACGCTAACTGCTGGTTCCCTCTTTGACTTTCTGATGAGCACATGTGCCCTATAGTAAAAAAACTCTCCAAAAATTAGTTAATACATTTATTTTATTTTATTTTATTTTATTTTATTTTATTTTATTAAGGGTATCTTCTTTTAAAATTTATTCATTCATTTTATTTTTTAGTTTGACAAGGGAGAGACACAGAAAGAGAGAAAGAGAGAGAGAGAGAAAGGGAAAGTGAGAAAGCAAGCTGCCAGGTCCAGTACTCGAACCATGGTCAGCCATGTGGGAGTGTCCAACGCCTTAACCACCATGCCACCTGCTGGTCCCTAATTAATTAATTTTTAAAAAACCTTTATGGGTCTTTTCTCAAAAGAATTTCACTTCCAGTTTGCTTTTGTTTGTTTGTTTATTTGTTTATTTGTTTGCCATCAGCATGGATGCTCGCTTGAGAGAGAGACAAAGACAATGAGAGAGAAACTGAGAAGTCACCTCCCCCAGGGGCATGACCATGCTGCAATCCATTATACTCCTAAGATTTTGGGCAGCCATGCACATGCACATGGCATGATTATAAAGCTGCCAGGTCTGGGACTTGAACTGCATTTGGCCGATTGAGAGTCCAGTGCCTTACCAACATACCACCTTCTGGCCCCTTGCTTATTTTTAGACATAAGCAAGATTATTATGTTATCTTATACTTTCCAAGTATAATTGTTTTGTTTTTCCTGGTCACTGTAAGCCCTGCAAGTTTACAATCTCATTTATAATGTTCAAGCTATAGGATTATGGTTTAAATTAAATTATAAATACCTTACATAAAGCAATTTTTAATTCATAAATTAAATTGCTTAAATATTCCCTACATATCCTTACTCTAGAAATGTGATCTAGGGTAATTTGAAGACTTTACATAACAAAAATGAAAATATTCTCAGACAGGTAATGAGAAGGTGAGAATGAACAAAAGGAACAAAATTGATTAAAAAAAGTGTCTTCCCACACTACATCTGGAATTCACAACCATTTAAAAGAAATTTATGCTTTGTCAAAGTTAACATTTTAAATTATTAATAACTGAACATATGTATTTCTTTTTTTTATTTTTATTTTTTGGAGAGGTTTTTGCTATAGGGCACGTGCTCTCGCCAGACAGACAGAGAGAGACAGAGAGACAGAAAGCAAGAATTCACCCCCCAGGGGGGATGGCCACGCCACAATCCCTTCTCTTCCATTCTCCTCTCGGGATCTTGGGCACGCACCCACGCGTGCCTGGCGTGAGTTTAAGCCACCAGGTCCGAGACTCGAACCGCAGTCAACTATGTGGGAGTCCAACAACATAGCCAATACGCTAACTGCTGGTCCCAACATATGTATTTCTTAAAGTATATCTTTTGTATATCTTTTTTTTCCCCAATTCCTCTCCACTTTATTAAGGTTGGCCAACGTGGTACTCATGTACTCTAACATTCATTACAAGTTTTCAGTGATGTTTAGCTTCTGAATTATTTTTCCATCATTAAGTTAGGTTAGGCACATTGGTTTATATTATATAGAAAATACTTATCTTTTTTTTTTTTTTTGGAGAGGTTTTCACTATAGGACACATGTACTCGCCAGACAGAGAGAGACATAGAGACAGAAAGCGAGAAATCACCCCCCAGGGGGGATGGTCATGCTGCAATCCCTTCTCCTCCATTCTCCTCTCAGGATCTTGGGCACGCACACACATGCGCCTGGCGTGAGTTTTAAGCCACTGGGTCCAGGACGCGAACCGCGGTCGACTACATGGGAGTCCAGTGACATAGCCATTACGCTAACTGCTGGTTCCCTAGAAAATACTTATCTTTAGGACACAGACAGGAACAAGTATAATTTTCAAATGCTATAAAAATTGAATCCAAATCTCAGTTAACCTCTTTCCTAAACTGCAGCCATTCATTTAGTCTTGATTGACAGCAGAAACCAAAACAACAACTTCAACCTGTCTGTGTGAGATTCTGGTGACTTAGAACTCCCTGAAAGAACAGTAAGCTGTGATTACTGAAAAGCTCAAACACTGGCAAGGCTTAATTACAAAGTATTTAACAGAAGGCCACAGGAGTTGTTTTCCTAAAGGAGCTAGAACTATCGATGCGGTTTAGTAATGCATTGAAATGGCATTGCCAAGGGCGAGTGTTGCACAGAAACTTCGGATCACCTCATCTAGGTCAATTATTTTGGATACGTTTCCACTATCATGGTGTAGCCCTGTCCTTAGCCGCATAGGCAGCCACTAAGCCATACTGGCCTCCTTCCTTCCATAATCTGTGGGCAGCTGCCATGACCAATCAGCAGCTAGTGGCTCCAAACGGGTGTCTCAGGGACAGTGATCTGCCCCAGTTATTGAACTTGTCCAGAGGATGCGCGCCAACCTTGGTTTTTCTGTTCATGTAGTTTTGTGCAAACCAATCAGAATCCATGGCTTTAAAATTACCAAGATCTGACCTGAGAAAACTTCGTGAAATTCAAAAATACCAATATCATTCATGGTTAATCCTGCCTTTTCTAGAACTTTTGGAGTACCGTATGTTGGTCTGAGTGAAAGCTGATCTTTTGGATCCTGAGATACATACAAAAAATCCCTCAGATACACCTTTGGCTTATAACCCATGGCCAGGGCTTTCTCCTCTGCCATGATCAGCATTGCAGATGCACCATCAGTCAGGAAAGAAGAATTTGCAGCTGTTATTGTGCCGTGGGGCTTGATGAAGGCTGGCTTTAGTTTGGCCACCTGCTCCAGTGAGGAAGGACAGATGCCATTGTCTTTGGTAACTGTATCTCTTCCTGGAACGTTGAAGGGCACAACATCAGAAAGGAAGCCTTCATCCTGCACCTTCTTGGCCAGACTGTGAGGGCATAGTGCGTACTCATCCTGCTCCAGCCTAGAGATAGCAAAGGCAGCAGCCAGGCGGTCCACAGAGTGGCCCATGGTCTCGCTGGTGGAGAACTTGGCCACTGCCGGGAGCTCAGGTGATAGGAAATTCTATCTAAATTTAGACAGTCGCTGACCCAGTGCCTTGGTCTTATTGAGATCAATCATCATTTTCCTCATTTTCCTTGAATGACGAATAGGGACGTCAGACATTAATTCAACACCACCGGCGATGACCACATAACGCTGGCTAGAGGCAATCAAGCCAACACCTGTGGTCATAGCTCGGTTGGAAGAGATGTAAGCCATGGTGACAGTGTGGGCAGGGGTTTTGTCAGAAAAGCCAGCTCCAAGGGCAGCTCTCTTGCCACGTTGCTTGTTTTCACTCCTTGAATAACTGTGCCAAAGACAATATAATCGGACATTGGTCCGATGCAATAAACCCGTAAGTTCTGCTCTGGTCAAATCATGTGGCATCAGGCACAAAGTGCCGACAGCAAAAATGGCATGTGAACACCATCCACTACTATGATATTCCTCATGTTAGGTTAGGCTAATGTCTTCTTCGATTTAGTCTGTATGGCTGGGGCAGCACATAGCTGGGATGAACAGCTCAAAGGTCTTATCGAAAACCTAAGACCCATTTTGATGTACTGGGAAGATTTTTAAAAGTGTAAGTCAAGATGGAAGTCATTCTGAAACCTCTGTTCACTCCCTCACGATCTCCTGTTTGTATGTCTTTTTTAAATTTTATTTTTATTTTTATTTATTATGTTTTGCTATAAGAGTGTGTGCACTCACCAGAGACAGAGAGGTAAGGTGAGAAATTTTCCCCAATAGGGAATGGCCATGCCTCAACCCCTACTCCATTTTTCTCTCAGAATTTCGGGCATGTATGTATACACCTGGCATGTTTTCAAGCTGCTGGCTGATTCTGGGACTCGAACCACACAGTCAACCATGTGGGATCCAACCACCAAACCACCATGTCACCTGTTGGCCCTGTATATCTTTTTAAATGCCAAAGTAAAATATTTCAGTTACTGTTTTGTTTTTTGTTTTTCTTTTATAGGCAGAGGTTCACTAAGTCACAGTTTTCCTGCCTCAGCTTCCCAGCTGGGATTACAAGCACATGCCACCAAGTCCGGCTCTTTATTTTCTCTTTGAGAGAAAGAGCAAGCAGGAAGAGGGGAGAAAAAGAGGGAGAAGGACAGAGAAGTACTTTTGACAGAGTTTCTCCATGTCCTGATCTTCCTGTCCCATCCTCCCAGGTAGCAAGGACCACATGTGTGTGCCATGGTGCCTAGCCTCTTTATGTTGGGCCAGGAGCCAAATCCAGGCCTCCCATGTAGCTGTAGCAACTGCATAGTATACTGTCCCCCTGCTGTGCCACTGCAGCTGGGCCCCAGGGTTGTGCTATGTTGTCCTGAGCATTCTGCTCACACTCCTCTTTCTTTAGCCTCCCGAGTTACTAGGATTTCAGGTGCATGCCACCATACTCAGCTTATAAGATGGCACAAGAAATGAACCCAGGCCTCCCTTATGTGCCCAGCCTGCAGAACATTGTTTTAGCAGCACATGCCAGTGCAACTGGGCCTCAGTTGCTTTTTATCTCTGCAGTTTGTTAGCCCCTATCAATATTAAAAGGAGAAAAAAAATTGTAAGATTATATGCTCAGCAGCCCTGCATGGGTAGGATTGGGCTTTAGCTTCAGTATTTAACTTTCCCAAGTGTAGAATAGTTGAGAAGTAGGTTATGTAAGTTGGCCAATCTCAGAAAGAAATAATATTTCATTATGGAAGAATAGCCCAACGATTGTCTTACTGCCACAGTGAGATCACTACTTTTATATATATATATATATACATATATATATTTCAGGAATATGAAAATGCAACAAAGGAGGAAAATTGCAATCCTGAAGTCTGGGTGAATCTGGCCTGCACGTACTTTTTTCTTGGAATGTATAAACAAGCTGAAGCAGCTGGATTTAAAGGTAAAACGGGCTCTTTTTTTTTTTTTTTAAGAATTATTTTATTTAACTTTATTTATTTATTTACTTACCTATTTTTAAAATTTAACCAGAGAGGGACGGAGTGAGTGAGAGAGAGGAAGAGAGGAAGAGAGAGAAAGTAGGAGAGCAAGCCACCAGATCCAGGACTCGAGCAGCAGTCAGCAATGTGGGAGTCCAGTGCCCTTAACCACCACACCACCTACTGGCCTCCAAAAAATATGGAACACTTTCACAAATTTGTGTGTCATCCTTGCAAAGGTGCCATGCTAATCTTCTCTGTATCGTTCCAATTTTAGTACATGTGCTGCCGAAGCAAGCATGGCTCTTTTTATTCTTGATATTCTTCACTTGTAGTAAGAGTCATCTTAGAGATTTTTTTTTTTAAGAGAGATTTTTTACTGTAAGGTGCATATGCTCACCAGATAGACAGAGACAGAGAGACAAAGTGAGAAATCACCTTCTGGGAGAATGGCCACACTACAATCCCTTTTTCTCCATTCTCCTCTCGGGATTCTGGGCACACACACACACACACACACACACATACCCATCGTAAGTTTTAAGTCGCCAGGTCCAGGACTTGAACCATGGTCAACTATGTGGGAGTCCAACTATTTGCTGATCCCCGTCTTAGAAATTCTAAAACTTATTCCTTTTACTGTTGAGGAAAAACGAAGACATTAGATAGCTAAAAAATAACTTTACTATTCAAAAAATACCGGATTTGAACTTTATATTTAAAGAGAGAGTTAATCTCATTCCCTTTACCCTATCTCCCCAAGAAGCTTTAACTGAGGGAAAAAGAAGAGCAAGTATCTTCCATAGGCCCTGTCATGGTGGAACTTTGATACTGTTGGTTATAGTTAGGTATAGCTGGTCAGTGTCTGTGGATGTTTTAGCTGCTTTTCCTGTTTCTGGGTGAGAAGCCCAATAACTTCAGCTTGAAGAATCCAGAAAACTTCCCTCTGCTTTCATACTTGCCGTGACTATCATTTCAGGAGAATTGTGCTCAAATTTACAAACAATAGCGAGGTACAAGAGAAACATGAGAGGGCAAGCAGGTGATGTGGTGGTAAGATGCTAGATCCCACATGACCAACTCCATGGTTCAAGTTCAGGACCTGGAGTCCTAAGAAACATGCCAGGTGCATATGTATGCACCCCCAAAATCCCTAGAGGAGACTGGAAAAAAAGAGATTGCAATGTGGTCATCCCTTGGGGAGTGATTTCTCACTTTCTCTCTCTCTCTATCTCTCTCCAGTGAGCACACACACCCTATGGCAAAAAGAAAAATCTGAAAAAATGGAAAAAAAAAAAAGAGAAGAGAAAGAGAAGAGGCTAAGGATAATTAGAGTATGAATCAAATTAAATTTAAGGAAATGCAGAGAAAGTAAACAAGGAAATGTTAGAAAATTTGTTTTTAAAAAAAGAATGTATTGGGAACCAGCAGTTAGCGTAATAGCTGTGTTGCTAGACTCCCACGTAGTCGACCAAGGTTCGCGTCCCGGAGCCAGTGGCTTAAAACTCACGCCGGGCGCGTGTGCATGCGTGCCCAAGATTCCGAGAGGAGAATGGAGGAGAAGGGATTGCGGCGTGACTATTCCCCCTGGGGGATGATTTCTCGCTTTCTGTCTCTCTGTCTCTCTCTGTCTGGCAAGCGCACGCGCCCTATAGTGATAAAAAACCTCTCCAAAAAAAAAAAAAAGAATGTATTATGGGGTTAGCAGGTGATGTGGTTGAGGTGCTGGGCTCCTACACTGCTGACAGTAGTTTGAATCCCAGACCTGGCAGCTGGTCTGCTTGCTTTCTCATTCTTTCTCTGGTGAGTGTACGTGTCCTATAACAAATTCAAAAAAAAATAGTAATAATAAATAAAATTAAATATTCATTTTAAAAAAGGAAAAGAGTATATTGCAGTCTAGCATTATTAATGAACTAATTGTTATATGCAAGGCAACCTTGTTTATATCATGGAGTTCATGGAGAATGTGTATTATGAAAAAAACTATGCATGGGGCCAGCAGGTAGCATGGCAGTTAAGATGCTGGACCTCCACATGGGCAACTGTGGTTCAAGTCCTGGACCCAATGGCTTGAAATTCATGCTCAGTGCATGTGCATATGTGCCCTAAATCACAAAGGAATAGAGGAGAAGGGATTGTGACATGACAATCCCCCCGGGAGATGATTTCTCACTTTCCTTTTCTCTGTCTCTTTCCAGTGAGTACACGTGCCCCCTAAACTTGTACTTAAATTCTAATTCTCAAACTTCACTCAGTCCCCTAATACATGTGTAAACTTCTAGTTCAAATTCATAAATTCTAATTCTCAAACTTCACTCAGTCCCCTAATGCATGTGTAAAATTCTAGTTCAAATTCATACAAAATGTGAAACTTGCCTTTCTCGATTTGTACCCAGATTGTTTTATATTAGTAGAGTTTTTCCTAATTACGTTACTAATACCTCTAAGTTATTTACATTATCTCATGTTTCTAAAGCCATGCTAGACACATAAAAAGGGTAGCTATCTATATTTTCATACATATGTGGCAATATATACATATATATCTTATATACATATATATTTTTAATATCTAAGTTTTTTTTTTTTTGTTAAGGAGACATAAAAGTGGGTGTCCAGAATCAGAATATTTTGTGAGTACATAGGAGATTTAGAACTAGAAAGATGTGAAAGGTGTTAACCTTTAGCTTAGCTTAGCTGCCTGTTCCAGTGTGGTACATTATCATGCTAGCAGATCTGTAGGATAGACACTAGTATTTAGGAAAATATGACAGTATAATTGTGGAAAAGGCGATTTCAGAAAGAATTGATAAAGATACTAGCTGAGTGAGAGTGGATTCACACATACATTGAGATGTCCCTAACTGTCTGCTACCAGTGTGTAGTTCTGTATGTGAGCAGCAAAGAGGTGGGCTGCTGCTGTAACTGCGTGTGGAGTGCGGGGCTGCGGGCCACCATAATCGATCAGGTAGAAGTGGCGGGGGAGGGCAGAATCTTAGAATATTTCTCTTCGGGTTCTTGATCCTGTTTCTGCTACTGCAACAACATGCATTCCATATTATATATGAACAATGTGTATATAAACAATACATATTATAGTACAGACATACCAGGAGCAGATGGGTAGGGATTTGGGAAGATTCATCTGAGTTTCATTTCATTTCTGCAAGGGACCAAGTGCCAGAGACTAGTGAGTTCTTTAATAAACAGCTTGGATTTTTTTTTTCAGCCCCAAAAAGCCGACTCCAAAACCGCCTGCTTTTCCATTTGGCTCACAAGGTATTTATGTTCTTATTTCATATTTTTGTTTTCAAAACATTTTTCTTAGCCCAGATGCAGTAGCACACAATAGATAGTGCTGCTTGGCAGGCTGGGGCCACATTAGAGGCCCAGGTTTGAGCCCCAGATCAGCCTGGGATACTGGATGCATGGCACATGCCTGGGGGCCCAGCTACTTGGGAGACAGAGACTGGAGGGAGAAAATCCAATACAACAAGACCTTAGCTAAAAAAAAAGCACCACACACATATGCACATTGTAAAAAGTACTTTTCTTCCTCCTCATTGCCAACAATAATGAAAGATAACTAGAAATTCTCATATTTGTAGAACAGATGGAATTATTGGTATTTATGTTATGGGATTTCTCCTTTACCAATGTTCTACCCTCTTATTATATTCAGGGATGTTAGGTTTTTGTTCTCTTTAAGCAACAGTCTTTTTTTAAGAGACTTGTACCATAGGATGTATATGCGAGAGAGAAGCAGAGTCAGTGAAAGGGAAAGTGAGAAATCACCCCCAGGGGTAATGGCCACACTTCAATCCCTTCTCCTCCTAGGATCTTGAGCACACATGCACATGCACCTGGTGTGATTTTCAAGCCACTGGGTCTGGGACTTGAACCATGGTCCACCATGTGGGAGTTCAGCAACATAAGTGCTACACCATCTCCTGGCCCCAAAGCAACAGTCAGTTAAAAAGGTTAGTTTGTGTCGACTATCCTATTATCTCTCAGAAAACAAATGCATCCCCTGACTCCCCAAAATTAATGCACACTTTTTTCCCTCATGTTTTTATTCACTTTTGCATCAGCAGACAATCAATACAGTAGGTTCACACTGTAAATTCTGTCTCAGTTTTCAAGGTCAGTGGTTTTAATCTCAGTGTAGAGACTCAGCATATATATATATATATATATATATATATCATCTGTGTGTGTGTGTATTTCAATTTGCTAGAGGGTACCTGAGAGGGAGAGAGAGAGGGCCAGCCAGCTGGTGTGGTGGTTAAGGTAGCTAGATCCTACATGGCCAGCTGTGCTATTGGAGTCCCAGATCCAGCGGCTTGAAAGATATGCTGGGCACGTGTGCACACATGCCCAAAATCCTGAGAGGGAAAGAAGGAGAGGGATTGCAGTGTGGCCATCACCTCTGCAGGGTGATCTTTCACTTTCTCTCTCTCTGCCTTTCTGTCTCTGGTGAGCTCACATGCCCTATAGCAAATTTAAAAAGAAAAAACATCTGGACAGAGAAAGAAAGTGAAAAAGCATCGCCCCATGGGAGATGGTCATGCCATAATCCATTCTCCTCCATTCTCCTTTCAGGATTTTGGGCACGCATGCACATGTGCCCAGTGTACTTCTCAAGCCACTGGATCCAGAACTCAAACCTCGCAGTCACCCATGTGGGAGCCAGCCACTTTAACCACCATGCCACCTGCTGGCCCTTAGTACATACTTTTCAGAATTACCTCATGACAATATATTTTTTAAAAATAATTATTTTATTTAATTTTATTTATTTTAATTTGACCAGAGAGGGGTAGAGTGAGTGGGAGAGGAGGAAAGTGAGAAATCAAGCTGCCAAGTCTGGGACTTGAACCATGGTCAGCCATGTGGGAGTCCAGCACCCTTAACCACCACACCACCTGCCAGCCCCATGACAATATGTAAAAAAAAATTTTTTTTTGTTTTTATTATTATTGTTATCATTTTGGCTAAAAGGCACATACACTTACTAGAGAGAAAAAGAGACAGAGAAAGAGGGAAAGTGAGAAATCACCCCCTGTGGGGGGGATGGCCATGCCACAGTCCCTTCTCCTTCATTCTCCTCTTGAGACTTTGGGCATGCTTGCATACATGTGTTTTTCAAGCCACCTTTCTGATATTCAGACCACAAAGTCATTCACTTGGGATCCAGCCGACTTAACCACCAAACCGCCAGCTGTCCCTATGAAAATAATTTTGATCATATTTTTTAAATAATAATTTTTCAGGCCAGCTGGTGTCATGATTAAGGCAGCTGGCTCTCACATACTCACTGTATAGTTTGTGTCCCAGACCCAGAGGCCTGAGAAACATGCCAGGCACATGTGCATGCATGCCCCAAATCTCAGCACAGAAATGGAAGGGAACAGGTTCCATTAGGGCTTGACTATGCCCCATCAGGATGTGGTTTCTCCCTCCCCCTCTCTTTATCTCTCTGTGTCTCTCTGGCAAGTGCCTGCACTCAAAGACATTTTTAAAAAATTTGTTGGGGTGATCTTGTGGCCTACTGGTTAAGGGAGCTGGATCCCACATAGCCAACAGCCCAACAAGATGGAGAAATAAACAGATTGAGATGTGATCAAGCCCCACTGGGGGAAGTGTGCTCTCTCCCTCTCTCTTACTCTGTTTCTGTCTCTCTCTCTGGAGAGCACACATGCCTTCTGATTTATTAAAGCAAATCAACCAAACAAAAGAGTAAAGAGACAAAAAAGGAAAGGAAGAATATATTTAAAAAGAAAAAAAGAAGATGAGAAGTTTCAAGAATTAATACTAGCTGTAACTTAATGGCTTTCCATTGTCAAGGCTATGCCTCCAGAGACCATTTGCATTCTTTTTTCTGAAAGAGAGACAAAGAAGACAAAGAACCTAAGGAAAATAGAAAAAAATAGAGAGATAGTGGCTGAAAGAGAAGTTAAAATCTGTCAGATGAGTATTGCTTTCTCTCTACTCTAATGTAAATCTTATGTGTCTTCTCCTCTCTCACCATTTTAGTTTAATGATGAGAAAAAGTTGATGAACTTTCATCAGAATCTTCAGGATATCACAGAAGATCAACTCAGTTTGGCCTCTATCCACTATATGCGATCTCACTACCAAGAAGCCATTGATATATACAAGCGAATACTGCTGGATAACAGGTCTGTGTCCTTTTATGCCTACTTGAAATCGCTTTCATTTTGGTAGTTTTTCTGTAACTAGGTTAGCAAAAGACAGTGTCCTTTGTATTTAATACCACCATGTGTTCAAAACTGGTAACCTCACGAGATTAAGAACTTCCTAGGTGTCATCTGCATCAGGTTTTCTCTACCTCCTTTTCATTATCATTCTTTTTATTCTTTTAAGAATTTTTTAAATTGTGATTATGTTTAAATTTGCTATAGGTGTGTGTGCTCACCAAAGAAGGAGAGAGAGAGAGGGAAAGTGAGAAAACAAGCTGCCAGGTCCAGGTCTTGAACTGTGGTCAGCCACTTGGGAGTCCAGTGCCTTAACCACCATGCCACCTGCTGGCCCCTTTTTTTTCTTTTTTAATTGCCGAAAGAGAAAGAGAGGAAGAAAGCACCCTTCTGTAGGTCACAGTCACATTGCAATTCGTTCTTCTCCATTTCTCCATCCTGTTGGGATTTTGGTCACATTTGTACATGCTCCTGTCATGTTTTTCAAGCTGCTGAGGCTAGGATTCAAACCATATAATTGGTCTTGTGGGATCTGGCTTCTTTAACCAGCAGGCCATGAGGCCAGTCTCTATAACATTTTAACATGCCTTTATGTAAATCATATTAATATATTGTATATCCATTTTACATGTGTCTCTGCATTACATACTTTTCCTTAGCCCCTCCCATAAGAACCAACTTTTTGTTTTTTGGGGATCAATACCTCTTCTATTAAAAATGCATGATTGGTGGGTCTGGCAGGTGGCATGGTGATTGAGGGTGTTGGACTCCAATAAAGCCAACTGTAGTTTGAGTCCCAAGCCTGGCAGCTTTCTTTCTCACTTTCCCTCTCTCTCTAGGGTCAAATTAAAAATAAATTTAAAAGAAGTAAAGTTAAATAAAATCATTATTAAAAATATAATAAAATGCGTGGTTGGAACTAGCAAATGGCATAACAGTTACATCGCTGTACTCCCACATAGTTGACTGTGGTTCGAGTCCTGGACTTGGTGGCTTAGAACTCACACTGGGTACGTGTGCATGTGTGCCCAAATTCCCAAGAGGAGAATGGAAGAGAAGGGATTGCAGAATGGTCATATCCCCTAGGGAGTGATTTCTCACTTTCTGTCTGTCTCTCTCTGTCTCTCTGGTGAGCACACATGCCCTGAAGCAAAAATCTCTCTCAAAAAAAAAAAGAAAAAGAAAATGTGTGGTCTAGATGTCTTTGTCTCAGAGTTGTAATTATATTATAGATAACTTTCTAACAAAATTAGAAACAAAACCTTCTTAAGAATTAACTTTCCAGGGACCAGCAGTTAGCGTAATGGCTATGTCGCTGGACTCCCACGTAGTCGACCACGGCTTGAGTCCCAGACCCGGTGGCTTAAACTCACACCGGGCACATGTGCGTGCGTGCCCAAGATCCCGAGAATAGAATGGAGGAGAAGGGATTGCGGCATGACCATCACCTCCGGGGGATGATTTCTCGCTTTCTGTCTCTCTGTCGCTCTCTGTCTCTCTGGCGAGCACACGCGCCCTATAGCAAAAAACCTCTCAAAAAAGAAGAAGAATTAACTTTCCTCAGGACCAGCAGATGGCACAATGGTTACATCACTGGACCCCCACGTAGTCAACCATGGTTTGAGTCCTGGACTTCACAGCTTAACTCATGCTGGATGCGTTTGCGTGTGTGCCCAAAATTCTGAGAGGAGAATGGAGGAGAATGGATTGCAGCATGGTCATTGCCCCAGGGGTTGATTTCTTGCTTTCTGTCTCTCTGTCTGTCTCTGTCTTTCAGGCAAGTGCACGCACCCTATAGCAAAAACCTCTTTTAAAAAAAACTATAAACAAATGAATTAACTTTCTGGGGCTGGCAGGTGGTATGGTGGTTAAGGGACTAGACTCCCACATGACTGACTGCTGTTTGAATCCTGGACCTGGCAACTTGCTTTCTCACTTAAACTTTATCTTTCTCTCTCTCTCTCTGTTTTTCTCTGGTCGAAATAAAAAATAATGTTAATAATACCAAATTAAATTAAATATATAATTCCTTAAAAAAATAAGAATTAACTTTCTAGGGCCAGCAGATGGTTTAGTGGTTATGTGGCTGGACTCCCACATGGCTGACTGCAATTCAAGTCCCAGACCCAGTGGCTTTAAAATAATCTCGGGGGGCACTGCCTGGATCCCAGCAGGAGAATGGAAGAGAAGGGATTGCAGTGTGGCTATCCTCCTAGAGGGTGATTTCTCATTTTCCCTCTTACTGTCTCTCTCTCTGGCAAGCACAAAGACCCTAATCACAAAAACCTCTTTAAAAAAAAAAAAAAGAAAATTAACATTCCAACTCTATTTCTGAACACTGCTCTCCCATCTCCAAAATATCTTATCTACCTTCCTTCTCCCCTCTTTTGTGTTATCTTCACTGTTTCCGCTTATTGCAATTTGTAGTCACCATGCCGGCTTACCTTGTCTGTCCATCCTCCGTATGGTGGGTGCTGTTGGTGCCTCTGCTCAATTGCAGCGTATTTAGGTTTTTCAGTATGAACAGCACAAACTTTTCTTTCTTCTTTAGTTGCCATTTTTTACTCCACTTACATCAGAACACCTAAATGTTATAATGCAAAAAGGAAAAAATTGCACTACTCATATCTTGCTTTCTTTTTTTAGAAAGCAAATTCATGAACTCTCCTCTTTGTTGTATTGTCCATTTGAGCTTTGTAGTTTTACAGCCTTTCCATGGAGTGGACTTAAACCATTAACTCTTAATTCTTTCATCTAATAGGGAATACCTTGCCCTCAACGTGTATGTGGCCCTCTGCTACTACAAGTTGGATTACTATGATGTGTCTCAAGAAGTCCTGGCTGTTTACCTTCAGCAGATTCCTGATAGTACCATCGCACTCAACCTCAAGGCCTGTAATCATTTTCGCCTTTACAACGGCAAAGCGGCTGAGGTAGTGATGGAAATGTTTCAACTGACTTCATTTCAATTTCAACTATTTTATACTTTGCAAATTATGCAAGAAACCCTATTATCTGTAACTCTTGATTACTATACCTTTGTCATTGCCAGTTTGGTTCTATAAGAACCTAGCCATATAAATTTTTTAAATTATTTATTTAATTTTATTTGTAGTTATTATTTTTTTAAGTTTGACCACAGAGGGACAAAGAAAGACAACAGGAAAGGGAGAAAACAAGCTGCCAGGTCCAGGTCTTGAACCACATCAGACATGTGGGAATCCAGCTCCTTAACCACCAGGCCACCTGCTGGCCCCATAAATATTTATCAGATATTCTAAAAAAAAAATTACTTCTGAATTCTTTGTGTTGTACTTAATATATTTTAGATTACCTAGATGTCTTATGTTAACTTAAATATGTATAACATTCGGTTTTTCTACAGAGAGATCACCTATAATGATTGATTTAATTCTTTTAATTAAAAAAAATTTAAAATATTTATTTAATTGAATTTTTATTATTTTTGAGAGGTTTTTGTTAATAGGGCGTGTGTGTTCGCCAGAAAGACAGAGAGAGACAGAGAGACAGAAAGCAAGAAATCATCCCCCAGGGGGATGGCCACTCCACAATCCCTTCTCCTCCATTCTCCTCTTGGGATCTTGGGCACGCACTTACATGCATCTGGCGTGAGTTTAAGCCACCGGGTTTGGGACTCAAACCACGGTTGACTACATGGGAGTCCAGCGACGTAATCATTACGCCAGTCGCTGGTCCGGTATTATTATTATTACTTTAAATTTTCTATAGGGCACATGCACTTACCAGAGAAAGACAGGAAAAGCAAGAAATCACTCCCCAAGTGGGATGGCCATGACACAATCCCTTCTCCTCCATTCTCCTCTTGGGATTTTGGGCACACCCATACATGCACCCTATGTGATTTTCAAGCTGCTGGGTCTGGGACTTGAACCTTGCAATCAGCCATGTGGGATCCAATGCCTTCACCCCCACACCACCTGCTGACCCAACTTGTTTTGTTTTTTAAACCCAAATTTTCTATAATTGCGAATATAATATATTTAAGAGGATTAATTTTTCCAGTTAAAAGACAAAAATTAAGGGGACAGCAGATGGCATAGTAGTTACATCACTGAATCACTGATCATAGTTTGAGTCCCGGACCCAGTGACTTGAAACTTACACCGGAAGCCTGTGCATGCATACCCAAGATCCAAGGAGGAGATGGAATTGCAGCATGGCCATCCCCACTGGGAGGTGATTTCTTACTTTCCCTGTCATTGTCTCTGTCTCTTGCAAGCGTATGCACCCTAAAGCAAAAACCTCTTTAAAAATTTAATAAATTAGAAAAACCAAAACTCTTAATATTTGCTTTATTTAATTTTTTTAAATTGCCTGGTGTGCACGTATTTGCCAGAGAGACAGAGAGAAAGGGAGAAAGCTCCTCCTAATGGAGCATATTTCATACCATAATCCCTTCTCCATTTCTCCATGCTGTCAGGATTTGGAGCCCACACATACACACACCTGGCATATTTTCAAGCTCCTGGGGCAGGTATTCAAACCATGGTCAGCCTTGTGAGATCTACTTCCCTTAACCAGTAGGCTATGGGGCTAGCTCTCTAATGTGTCCTTTAAATAGAAGGACAGAAAACTTGAACATAAAAGGATGTGTTTTTTGTGTAATATTTTTTGCCTGGTTTCTACCATTGGTGTCTTTTTTTTCTCTTAAAGTCATTTCACTCTAACATAACTGATTACCTCCATCTTCTATTTTTATTTTATTTTTGTTGCTTATGCTTTTAGTGTCATGTCTAAGACTCCATTGTCAAATCTAAGATCATGAAGACTACCCCTATGCTTTCCAAGAGAGATATAGTTTTAGCTTAGACTTTTTAAAAATCTATTTTGGGGAACCAGCAGTTAGCGTAATGGCTATGTCGCTGGACTCCCACGTAGTCGACCGCAGTTCGTGTCCCGGACCCGGTGGCTTAAAACTCACACCAGGCGCGTGTGCGTGCGTGCCCAAGATCCCGAGAGGAGAATGGAGGAGAAGGGATTGCGGCGTGACCATCCCCCCGGGGGGTGATTTCTCGCTTTCTGTCTCTATGTCTCTCTCTGTCTGTCTGGCGAGCACACGCGCCCTACAGTGAAAATCTCTCCAAAAAAAAAAATCTATTTTGTACTAATATTTGTGTATAGTACGAGGTAAAAGTCCAACTTCACTCATTTGCATGTGAATATCCAGTTTTTGCAGCACCAGTTTTTTTCTTTTCTTTTTTGGAGAGGTTTTTCGCTATAGGGCGCATGCACTCGCCAGACAGACAAGAGACAGAGAGATAGAAAGCGAGAAATCAGCCCCCAGGGGGGCGGGGGCGCAATCCCTTCTCTTCCGTTCTCTCGGGATCTGGGCATGCAGGCACACGCGCCCGGCGTGAGTTTTAAGCCAACGGGTCTGGGACGCAAACTGCGGTCGACTACGTGGGAGTCCAGCGACATAGCCATTATGCTAACTGCTGGTCCCAAAACTTTTTTTCTTTTTTACATTGCTAGAACACATGACCAAGTTATTAATTTCATAAACAGTATTTTATACTTCTGGAGGTTCAAGTTGCTTCTTAAAAAAAAAAAATCTTTACCTTTGGGGCCACCAGATGGTATAGCAGTTATGTTGCTGAATTCCCACATGGCAGATTGGTTTAAGTGCCTCGCTTGAAAATCATGCACGTGTGCATATGTGCCCAAGATCCTGGGAGGAGAATGGAGAAGGGATTGCAGTATGGCCATTCCCCCTTGGCGGGTGATTTCTCACTTTCCTCTCATTCTCTCTCTCTCTCTCTCTCCCTCCAAGAATGCATGCATCCTAAGGCAAGAACCTCTTAATTTAAAAAAATAGAAAAACTTTACTTTTTAGTTTCCTCTTTTCTGCTTTTGTGCTTATCTTTTATATTCTTAAATATTATCAGTATAGGTGTTTTGTGATCTGAGTTCAATCATTTAAATTTCTGAAGTTTTGTAAGCTGGTTCTGTTTTTTCTTGTTTCTCCTGGTCCTCCTTCACAGAGTCAAGCATCTTTACATGTTAACTGCTGGACACAGTATTTGCAAGATAATCTAGTGCCTGCAATGAAGACACTTTCCTCCCTCAGTGATATGCATTTACTCGCCCTGTCCTGAGGGAACTACCGATTTGAGACCACCTCAAACCAGACTCAAGACTTTAGATTCCCTGAAGTGCCCCTCAGATTCTAATCGGGCTGTAATGGTACAGAAGGGGTGTTCTAGTTCCATATCTTCCCTCCCTTGTCAGTGTAGCTCTTTGGAGTCCCAAATGATTGTGGGGTCTCTTGCTAGGCTTCTCACCTTGCACTGGCCATAGACCTTATTTTTTGTCTTGTTCCAAGACTAGCAGCCAAAAGTTTTAGCTTTACTGAATCAGGAAAGCCTGCAGGACAAAAGTACTGGGCTGTCAGAAAAGTCATGAAGTATTTTTTCCTATGTTTTTCTATGCAAAAATGTATCATGACTTTTCTGACAACCTAATAGGTTCTGTATTTTTTCACTTTTCTGGCTTCAGTTTTTTCTCTTCGGTTTGGACGTCATAACTCTTTACTTTCTTATAGTTTCTTTGGTATTCTTTCTTTTTTGAGAGAGATTTTTTGCTATAGGGTGTGTGTGCTCCCCAAAGAGACAGAGACAGAGAGACAGAAAGCAAGAAATCAACCCCTGGGGGGATGGCCGTGCTGCAATACCTTCTCCTCCATTCTCCTTTCACAATTTTGGGTACAAAAGCACACTCACCTGGTATATTAGCTGCTGGGTCTGGGACTCAAACCACAGTGAACTTCATGAGAGTCCAGCAATGTAACCATTATGCCATCTGCTGGTCCCATCTCTCTCTCTCTCTTTTTTTTAACTTTAGTTTTATTTATTTATTTATTTAAATGTATTTTTGACTAGAGAGGGACAGAACACTTGCATGCACATGAGAGAGAGAGAGAGAGAGAGAGAGCAAGCCGCTAGGTCCAAGATTCAAACCATGGTTGGTCACATGGGGGTCCAGCGCCCTTAACCACCGTGCCACCTGCTGGCCTCTTATTGGTATTCTTTTTTTAAAATAATTATTTTATCTAACTTTATTTTTTATTTTAATTTGACCAATGAGGGACAGTGCGAGAGTGAGAAAGAGAGAGAAAAAGTGAGAAAGCAAACCACCAGGTCCAGGACTGGAACCACAGTTAGCCACATGGGAGTCCAGTGCCCTTGACACCATGCCACCTGCTGCCCCCTCCCTCCCCCCTGCTTGGTATTCTTAAAAAAGTATTTTAGCGGCCAGCAGGTGGCATGGGAGTTGAGGCACTGGACTCCCGCATGGTTGACTACTGTTTGAGTCCCAAACTGGGCAGCTTGGGCCAGCAGGTGGCATGGGAGTTGAGGCACTGGACTCCCGCAAGGTTGACTGCTGTTTGAGTCCCAAACCGGGCAGCTTGCTTTCTCACTTTTTCTCTCTGCCTCTCTCTGGTGAGTGCACGTATCCTAGAGCAAACTGAAAAATAATAATAATGAATAAAATTAAATAGTTATTTAATTTTTAAAAATCTATATATTTTGTTGTTCTTGAGGCATGGGAGTTGAGGCACTGGACTCCCGCAAGGTTGACTGCTGTTTGAGTCCCAAACCGGGCAGCTTGCTTTCTCACTTTTTCTCTCTGCCTCTCTCTGGTGAGTGCACGTATCCTAGAGCAAACTGAAAAATAATAATAATGAATAAAATTAAATAGTTATTTAATTTTTAAAAATCTATATATTTTGTTGTTCTTGAGGGGAGCATTGACTTGAATAGTCTTAGTCTAGCAATTACAGAGTGTGATCTATGACCCTTGTGATTCCCTAAGGCCTTCCAGGGACACTGTGACAGGGTCGAGGCCAGAATGAGGCCAGCAAGAGGCCAGCAATATGCCCAGGCACAAAGCCCAATTGGTAGCTCTTGCATGAACATAAATGAGTGTCTCTGTAAATTTTGTGTCTTAGTACCTCACTGTCTCGCCCTTAGTTCCAGCTGGCCCTTCCTGAGATCAAAACTGTTCTCATGATGCTAAGAGATTTTTGCGTTTTTGTTTTTATTTTTCTCAAACATGCAGTAAAGTTTTTCAGGGACAATGTGATTTCAAAATACACTGAATGCAGATAGTTATGCCAATCTACCTGTCCTCTGTTAAGCCAGACGTTGAGAGATTTGAAAAAAAATAAAAACATGTAAAGCATTATCATTCTTTTCACTAAATTTTTGCTTAAATAAATATTGTTTTTTAAGATAAAAATATTTATTTTACATGTAGTGGGTTTATTGTTATTTTTTATTAATGGATTATGTAAAACTTCCTGTTTTAATTTTTTCACATGATACATATTGATGGCTACACCCACATAAATAAGAGCTCTTTGGAATCCTTAATATTTTTTTATAGTATAGAAGGGATCATGGGGATCAGCAGATAGCATAATGGTTACGTCACTGGACTCCCACATGGTCGACCGCAGTTTGTGTCCAGGACCTGGTGGCTTCAAAATGTATGCCAGGCGCGTGTATATGCCTGCCCAAAATCCCAAGAGAAGAATGGAGGAGAAAGGATTACAGTGTGGCCATCCCCCCCCAGGGTGATTTCTCACTTTCTGTCTCTATCTCCCCTTGTCTCTCTGGAGAATGCATGTACCCTGTAGCAAAAATCTCTCTTAAAAAAAAGAATCATGAGACCGAAAAACTTCAAAACTTACTCATCATGCTTAATACGGGCTAGAGCTAGGACCAGCAGATGGTGTAACGGTTGTATGAATGGATTCCCTTGTAGCTGACTGCAGTTTGAGTCCCAGACCTGGCAGCTTAAAACTTACACTGGTTTCATGTGCTCGTGTGTCTAAGATCCAAAGAGGAGAGTGGAGAAGGGATTGCAGCATGGCCATCCCCCTGGGGTGTGATTTCTTACTTTCTGTCTCTTTGGTCATTTCTCACTTTTCTGTCTCTCTTAAAAAAAAAAAAAATTGACCAAAACTTCAGAATTGCTGCTGTGGACAAGAGAAGAGATAATGAAAGGATTGCTGAGTAGACATGTACTTTCAACTGAGATTAGGCAGATCAGATTTGTAATCCTACCGAGGATAGTCAAGAATTCAATTATTTCATCCAGAAAGACTTAGCTACCCACTGATGGAAGCAGAAAAATGGTAAGGGTAAGGTTATTCAAAATTATGGATTGGCAAGGTAGTAATAGCAGAGAGCTAAGGAGCGTGTGTTCACAAAGACACTGGAAACGGCTCACCTTTTGTTCTAAGGTGAGAGGCAAGAGAATACAGAAGAGATACAATAAATCTAACTACCACGCCACCTACTGGCCCCAAATCACCGAACTTTTATAAGCCTCATTGTTCTCATCAGTAAAATGCGGATAATAATAATTATGTTGATTTAGATGCAAGAGGATCAAGTGAAATAGCATGTTACCTTTTTTGTAAACTAGAAAGTATTTTATAAATTTGTGTTATAAACCATTCACTTGTCATTCTCATAAACTCTTTTTTAAATTTCAGGCGGAACTCAAAAGCTTGATGGACAACGCTTCTTCATCCTTCGAGTTTGCTAAAGAGCTCATCAGGCACAATCTGGTGAATAATGGTTTCCTATCTTGACTGACTTCAGTCCTATTCTATTTTGGTACATAACAGTGGTTGTAAAGATAAATAAAAGGAGTTGCCCCAGCAAATATTACTCCACTCCAAGGGAATACCTTCTTGCTGTGGAGGAGGGAATATGAGTTTAAAATATCAGTTCCTGTGCTGGCCCTGTGGCCCAGTGGTTAAGGTAGCTGAATCATACATGGCCAACTGTGTGGTTTGCATCTCAGATGTGGTGGCTTTAAAAACATGCTGGGTACGAGTGCATGTGTGCTAAAATCCCTTTGGGATGGAGTAATGGAGGAGGAGAAGAGATTGCAATATAACATGCCCCATTGTGGGGGGTGCTTTCTTCCTCTCTGCCTCTCTATCTCTTCTGACTGCGCACACCCTCAGGCAAATTAAGTGAGTGAGTGAGCCAGATCCCAAAGGCCTACCTCCTCAGGCAAATTAAGTGAGTGAGTGAGCCAGATCCCAAAGTCCTACCTCAGTTCAACTCCCAGCCCCAGTGACTTGAAAAACATTCCAGGCACATGTGCACGTGTGCCCCAAATCCTGACAAGAAGAAGGAATGGAGTGAAAAGGATCATGACATGACTATACTCCATTGGGGGCTGCTTTATCTCTCTCTCTCTCTCTCTCTCTCTCTATTAAGTGAGTGAGTGAGCCAGATCCCAAAGTCCTACCTCAGTTCAACTCCCAGCCCCAGTGACTTGAAAAACATTCCAGGCACATGTGCACGTGTGCCCCAAATCCTGACAAGAAGAAGGAATGGAGTGAAAAGGATCATGACATGACTATACTCCATTGGGGGCTGCTTTATCTCTCTCTCTCTCTCTCTCTCTCTCTCACTCATGAGCACATGTGCCCTCTGGCAATAAAAAATAAATATTAGTTCATTTCTTCAAAGAAATCTTTATTGGGAGGGCAAGAAAATAGATAACATTTGGAACAGAGTACAAGACGGGGTAGATCTAAGTGTTTGGTTTTTTGGAAAAGACAAAGGAACATATCTTTGTGGGTTAGAATAAATGAGCAATGTTTTTGGTCTGGAAGCATAAAAGGCCCCATTTTGTCAAAGCAATACTGTGCAAGGGGAATAAAGTAGGAGGCATCTCTCTTCCCGGCCTCAAAACATTACAGAGCTATAATCATTAAGACAGCGTGGGATCAGCACAAAAACAGACAGGTAGACCAATGGAACAGAATTGAGAACCCCCAAATAAACCCCAAAACATACAGCCAACTGATCCTTGACAAAGGACACAAGACAATCCAGTGAGAAAAAGAAAATCTCTTCAGCAAACAGTGCTGGGAGAACTGGATATCCACCTGCAGAAGAATGCAACTGGAGTCTTATCTCTCACCACTAACAAAACTTAACTCAAAATGGATTGATTAACTAAACATAAAACCTCAAACTATAAAAATATTGGTGGAAAACACAGGAAAAACTCTTGGAGACCTTGGAGTAGGCAAAGACTTCTTAAAGAAGACCTCCAAAGCACAGGCAATATTCCCCAAAATGGACAAATTGGACTAAATTAGGCTGAGAAGCTTCTGCACAGCAAAAGAAACAGTAAGTAGAGTGAGAAGACAACTCTCAGAGTGGGAGAATATATTTGTAAATTACACCTCAGGTAAGGGACTGATAATCAGAATATAAAGAGAACTCAAGTAGTTTACCCACAAAATTAAACCAACTGAAAGATGGGAAAAGGAACTGAACAGACCATTATCCCAAGAAGACATATAAATGTCCGAAAAGCATATGAAAACATGCTCAACCTCTCTTCACATAAGGGAAATATAAATTAAAAGCACCATGAGATACCATTTAACTAACTCTTGTCAGAATGGCTAAAATTAAGAAAATCAATAACAATAAGTGCTGGCTAGGCTGTGGTGAAAAGGAAACTCTCTTACACTTTTGGTGGGAATGTAAATTAGTACAACCACTTTGAAGAAAGATATGGGATTTCTTTGAAACCTATAAATATAACTACCATATGACCCAGTAACTCTACTTTTAGGTATTTACCCAAAGGATCGAAAAACCCTCAGTCAGAAAAACACTTGCACATCCACGTTTACTGCAGTATTATTTACAATTGCGAGGACATGGAATCAACCCAAATGTCCAAAAAATAGATGATTGGATTGAAAAAATGTGGCATATGTACTCTATAGAATACTACTCAGCCATATAAAAACTATTAAACCCTGACATTTGATACAAAGTGGATGAATATGGAAGATTTAATGCTAAACAAAGCAAGTCAGACTATGAAAGACTTTGTATATCCCCCTTAAATATATACTGACTGTCTGCGCTCTGTGGCAGAAACTGAAAGTTTAGAAGGAAGGCAAGAGTAGATACTAGAGGTAGTAAGGAGGAGGTAATATGGGGATGTGTAGTGGAGAAAGGGAGGGGAATAGCGGAAGAAAAAGGGGAAAAAAAGAACATTTAATTGACCAAAAAATTAAAAGGCGTTTACTGCTGCTGATGTGTCTAGTAATGTCTTTGTCTTGACTACTATGCATGGTTTTCATGCTGGAAAAAGAGATGTTATACACTGTAAATATATATGTGATTAAATGTAATAAATATAATTAATTAATTAATGTAAAAAAAAATTGCCAGCAAGCACATGAACTCATCAGAGACAGAAAAAGGAAGAAGGAGAAAGCACCATCTATGAGGAATGGTCACCCTTCCTTAACCACTAGGCCACAGGCTGGCCAGGGTTCTGCAGGTCTTATGAAAATAAAATGTATACAGTGTGGATTATGCCTTTATTCTGTTTCTTATCTTTACTATAATTTAGGTAGTGATTTTCTTTCAGTGAGGTCAACATCACAGATATAGAAAAAGCTTCAAAAATATATTCATCCTTTCAAAAAAACAACTTCATGCCAACCGCACTGGTCATAGTTCTAGGGTTGGGAGTAAATACAAATTTTCTTATCATATGGAACTTTTTCTTCTTTTTAGGATTTTTGCTATAGGATGTGTGTGTTCACCAGAGAGAGAGAGACCAAGACAGAGAAAGGAAAAGCGAGAAATCAAGCCCCAGGGGGGATAGCCATGCCACAATCCCTCCTCCGCCTTTGTCATCTTGGGATTTTGGACACGCACACATGCACACATGCCTGCCATGAGTTTCAAGTCAGCAGGTCCAGAACTCAAACCATGGTTGGCCACGTGGGAGTCCAGGACCTTAACCAGCACACCACCTGCTGGTCCCACACATGAAATATTTATATTCTGGTAGATGTAAGAGATAAACAGATGAACAAAGAAATGCATGCTTAAATGAGGTAGTAAATGTCATGAATAAAAATAAAAAAGGTTAAGGGTAGAGAGAGCGATAGAGGAGATAGGTTATCTATTAAGGTGAACATGAAACATTTAAATGTAACAGAGCTGTTAAAAAGTATCAGAAGCAGAAGGGGGGAAGAAGAGAGGATAAAAAGCATAGGATTAGTTAATGTTACTAATTCAGCCAGCCATGAAAGTTCTCAAGTGTAACTGAGTCTTAGAGCTAGTCCAGCTGGTATCATGAACATAGTTTTATGTGGTAGTTTCTTAAACATTTCCACCAATAAATATATACAGGGAACCAGCAGTTAGCATAATGGCTATGTCGCTGGATTCCCACGTAGTCGACCGCGGTTCGCATCCTGGATCCGGTGGCTTAAAACTCACACCGGGCGCGTGTGCGTGCGTGCCCAAGATCCCGAGAGGAGAATGGAGGAGAAGGGATTGCAGTGTGACCATCCCCCCTGGGGGGTGATTTCTCGCTTTCTGTCTCTATGTCTCTCTCTGTCTGTCTGGTGAGCGCACGCGCCCTATAGCGAAAACCTCTCCAAAAAAAATATATATATATATGTGTATATATATATATATACACACACACAGATATATTGCTATAATACAACATCTCGTCTTCCAGGTGGTTTTCCGAGGCGGTGAAGGAGCTTTGCAGGTTTTACCTCCCCTGGTTGATGTCATTCCTGAAGCAAGACTAAACTTAGTGATTTACTACCTTCGTCAAGGTAAGAAACATTTGTCTTAGTCTTACTTATATAACAAGATGTTTTAGAATATTTACTCTCTGATTGACCTACCTACTTGTTAAATCCATAATAATTCTAAAAATATGTCTGTTAATTCATAAGATGGAACAAATTTGTTGGTTCTTTTTGGGCCTTTTCTCTTTATATTCTCTCCTCTTGTGTTACCTCCTATCCTCTTCTCCCTCCTCCTTGTTCTTTCTTTTTTCCTTATTTTGCTGTCTTTTGCTCTCTACCCATTTTTTTGTTTGTTTCTTCTTTTCATTGCATTACTATGTTTTCCCTTCTTTATAGTTCTTTCTTTTCCTAGTTGCCTTCTATGTAGAATATACATCCACATTTCTTTACATCTTTTAAAACCACAAACTGGTTTTTGTTTGCTCTAATGGCCTTTTTCTTTTTAAAATTTTATTTCAAGTTCTTTTGTTTATTCAATCATGTTATTTAGCTTGCAAACTGAATATTCCAACATGTGCACATTTCTCACCAGTCCAATTGATAACTACTATAAAGTTATCTTCAACAGATAATACCCATTTCTTTGTCCCATTAATGCTTTGTCTCTCATTTTTTCTCCTTAATGTCCTTCCTCAGACTCTACTCCTTCACTCACCCTCTTCCCACAGTATATCTGGTATTCACAACCATTTACTATGTTTCTATATCCTTTAGTCATTCAGTTTTGGTCATAGAGTGCAGACCCTCAGTATATATTAAGTGGAGACATACAGTGTCTCTCCTTCATAGCCTGGCTTGCTTCATTCAGCAGTAAATCTTTTTCTTTTTTTTTTTTTTTTTTTTTTTGAGAGGTTTTTGCTATAGGGCGCATGCACTCACCAGACAGACAGAGAGAGACAGAGAGACAGAAAGCGAGAAATCACCCCATGGGGGATGGCCACGCCACAATCCCTTCTCCTCCCGGGATCTTGGGCACGCACGCACACGCGCCCAGTGTGAGTTTAAGCCACCAGGTTCGGGACTCGAATCGTGGTCGACTACATGGGAGTCCAGCGACATAGCCATTATGGTAACTGCTGGTCCCACTCAGCAGTAAATCTTCTAGATTTATCCACTTTCTGTCAAAAGCCAAGGTCTTGTTGTTTTTTATGGCTGAGTAATATTCCATAGAGTATATGCTCTATACTTTTTCAATCTATTCATCTGTTCGTGGGTATTTGGGTTGATTCCATGTCTTGAGCAATTGTGAATAATGCCACAATAAATATTGATGTGTAAACAGTTTTCTAATTAAGAATTCTTTTCTCCTTTGGGGAGATACCAAGGAGTGGGATTGCTGGGTCATATGGTAGTTCTATTTGTAGATTTTTTTTTTTTTT